AGAGTTTTATGGAAACTAGGAAACTAGAGAAAATTAAAAAAATTCTTGCCGGATTTGTTCTATGCGGCCGCATAGAAGGTTTCTATGCGGTCACATAGAAGACCTAAGCCATGCCTTGGAGATCTCTGCAGGTGTCTATGCGACCGCATGGCATTTTACGCTATGCGACCGTATAGCGTTAGTTCGCCATGTCTCTTCCCTTTGCTCGTTTCCTATGCTTTCCAACCCTTTTTTAGCTTCCGCCCCTGACATGAAACTTGGTCCTAAGCTTATCAACTCCTTCATTGTGAACCTTGTAGCTCGACCAAGTGCTTGCACGACTTCTTTGCTTCGATTCAATCCCCGGCTCACTCTCGAACTCGACTTTAACTTCCTCTCAACGCACCGTAATTCTCCACCTGCTTGATGCCTCATTTGGGTCACATCATAAGGCCATCATAGCACCTTATATGAAGGCAATCATACTTTGGTGATATTTGATGTTGCTCTGTCAAGGGTCACTAATATGACGTCGTTCGAGTATGTCAGAATCATATGAAGGTTATGAATAATCAATAAAAAATTTATCACTGTTAGATAGTAAGATATTACAATTTACATTTCATTCATTTATCTTAATAACGAAATCTTTGGTCAAAGTGTAATCATAAGTCGAAAATGAGTTTTCGACTTATATTGACTTAATAGTGAGATGAAATATATGATCGATAATTGAGATTGACACATATCCATATCTTGTAATGATCGGATTATATTGACGAAATGATTATAGTTGCACGGTAAACGAACAAATTTTGTTTTGTCATACCAAGTGACATTTTGTGTCATATGTATTGCACTATTGCTCTAACACCTTGCTAGATATCAATTTGGGACGACATATGTGAATTGATGATAAATTAAAAATGGTATTTTACNTTGCACTATTGCTCTAACACATTGCTAGATATCAATTTGGGACGACATATGTGAATTGATGATAAATTAAAAATGGTATTTTAATTTATCGATTTTGATTAGATCAAAATAATAATTCACGTCGTTAGGTATCGTGATAGGGAACGTGACGTGTCATGCACAAAAGAAGAACTAAAAGAATGAGATTCACCAATTAATTAATTAACAAGTATTAGACAATTAATTAATTGGGTTTCTTGCTAATAGACCCAAATTAATTAATTGGATTAATTAAATATTGGGTCGGGTTAATTAAATTGGTGAGCCGCTTATTGGATAACATGGCTGCAATTAAAATTCTGGGTTATGAGTATATGTTAGTTTTTTTCAACTTCTTTTTCATATAGTTGAGACCTGAGTACTGTATTGAAGATTAGTCAAGCTTGAACATGATTCATTTTCATTTATAAGGAAAAAAGATGGAATTGGATTCATTTGTAATGTATGGTGGAAACTTGAAAATGAAGTTTGATCATTGATAAAATTTGCTAAAAGGAGGTTAACGGGCAAATTAGGTTCTTGCCAACTCATTATAGCTATCTTTCAAAGAAAAGCTTGAATGCACTGCTGAACTTTATCGTACGTTTACCAATGTTCGATTAGAAATAGTATTAAAAACAAGAGTACACTAAAATCTTAAACAAACATACTCGCATTGCCTTTGATGCTACCCTCGACCTCGAGAAAAAGAATGCTATTATAAAATCCAGTTGTATACTACCAATTTTATTTTAATTTAATAGTAGTTTACAATTGTATTCTTAGAGCATCTTCAATCGTGATGTAAAATAAATTTAAATTATGATTTAATTCTCTAAAGTGGTCGGAAATATGCAAAGAAATACAAATTGCATTTTCCGGCAGAAAATATTAAAAAGAGAGAGATGTAAATTACATTCACAAGAGGCAGAAAGCAGTGACGGAGCCAGACATTTACTATTGTCGGGTCAAAAATTAAAATGCATTTTTTTAAACAACTTAACATTTTTTTTACAATTTGTATGGAATTTCCTTTACGAGCAAGTGTTCCATGAACTTTATATTCTATACAATGTCATATCAGAGCACATCTATCATGCTTAATTCTTGACTTCTTGATTATTTTTGCGCACACAAAAAAAAAAAAAACTTATGCAAAATATATAACAGGGCAAAGCATCTCTACCTCTGTCTCATATTGCAGGTAACCTTTTTTCAAATTCGGATAAGAGGTGGGGATTGGCAAATTTGTGCTGTTGATTTTCAAGGTCCGTGTAACAGTATTCCAATTTGTCGAGACCCATTGAAGAAGTTGTATCACCATATTCGCTTGGTTGCATATTTGCATTCCACCAGACATTGTTCTATAGTAATCAACAGTGTCGATGAGAAGATAGTAGATAACATACAGGTGAAGAAAATGCTCAAAAAGTCAATAACAAAGGACAAAAATAGCATTTTCACGCAAGCATTTTTTGTGGTCTCCAAGGTTGTCCAGTCACACCGAAATAATACAATGCCTTTTGTTGCCTCAGTTGCTAATCCACAAAGTGAAGACAAGATAACACTCCTTGACTGTGTGAAGTCATATCTTGCTCCCCCAACACTTTTTGAGTAACTTGAATATGCCTCTTGATTGCATAACGCAAGCGGCAGAGCTGGCAGGAAATTCATCCGTTGCAAGATTAGTGTATGGTTGGGCAACACCATATCCTACCACTATTTGAACGATGATACCAGAACTTGCATCTGATGGTTATAATGTTTGTCTTATATCTACAGAATTTTTGAAGCAAAAAAAAAAAAAAGTAAAGCCAAAAAATTTTGTGGGGTCACTTGACCCCACATGACCCCATGTGAGTCCGTTCATGGCAGAAAGTGAATTTAGATCTTCCTATTGGAAATTTGAATTTAGAACCATCGGTACGTAAATGAAGATGCAAATGTGATTTTGAAGATACCAATTTTACACCACCATTTGCTCTAACATTTCCTGCAAAATCTAAAAACCTGTTAATGAATTTAGCTATCCGTGTCAGTATGATATGAGATTCATCTCTGAGGTGAATAATCGAAACAATTGCAGTTAAACGACAAACCCAATTAATTTCAATATTTAGTTATTTACAGTTAAAAATTGTATTACAGATTAAATTGACTCGTCGGTTAAGAAAATATTGTTTCAAAACTAAACTTTCAAATCTTTAACACATTATTTTGAGAAAGAGAGAAATATTTGAACTAGAATTGTGATACGGACCCGGATAGAGTTGAACTACCAAACCCACGACGATTGATTTAGAACCCAAGATAGCCAAAGTAAATCAAAGTTTGGATTGATTCGAAAATTAACGAATCAAAATAACCAAAAATTCAATAACGAAAGTCAACCATTTTGATTGAATTAATGAAGAACCCAACCCGGAAGATTGAACGCCACAAGAATCACTCTTGATAAGTTCACAATTGTCCAATGAAGAACAAGAAATTTGAAGCAATAATTTTCTCTTGATTAATCTCTCAATAATAAGGTTCAAAGTTTTTTTTTTTTTCAATAATGAAATAAAAATCCTATTTATACTAACCTAGAAAACTAGTTAAATTCGTGCAAAAATCGTCCAAGATTACACAATTATAGTAGGAATATAACTCTAGTGGAATAAGGAAAGTTTAAAAAAAAAAGAAAATTCCCTTTGCCATTTGGTCTATGCAACCGCATGGTACATTTGTGTGCAATCAACCCTTGGGACACGCATTTTCCTTTGTTATATAAAGAATGATTTTCACCACCGTTGGGAAGTACCTCCTCTCCGTCATAATCCGTATTCTTACCAAAATTAGAATCTGAAGATTTCAGCGATGATCCCCGCAGCCACCTATCACCGGCAAGACCAAGATTATTCCGAGATGGAGCTCTGAGAAAAGGGCCATATGGTCGTTCCAGCTCCTCACCGTTAGCTTCATATAGTTTTTCACAATTTGAATCGGAGTGTCCAATTTTAATACAAATGAAAAGAATGTTGGCACTCGTTCATACTTGAAGATCACCCATATCCAATCACCTCTAGTTTTTTTCAACTTCATCCTCCTCTTCAACGGAAATCTAACATCCATGAGGACCCTCATACAAAGAAATGTTTTGCAGCCTTCAGAGAAGTTCTTAGGATCAAATGAGAGATAGGTACCAATAAAATTTTCGATCTGAATGAGGGTTCAGTCTGAATGAATTCCGGCAGGAACTTCATGTATTTGCACCCATAGACTTGTTTCACATAGATAACTCTCATAGGGTTTTCATCTTCTTTGAGATGTTTCAAGAGTAGAAGATGATTATTGAAAGTCCAAGGACCATGTTCAAGCACTCGGTTCATATCAATAGGATGATAGAATTGAAAAACATAGATTACAGCCTAAAATAAGACAAGCATGAATAATCGAAATTATTCCTAGACATTCTACAAATGGGCCTAAGTGGGTGCTAGTTACCAGCCACCACAAGAATAGAGACTCTCACCATTCTCCTATTAATACGTGTTATTGAATAGAACTAAACAATATAATATATAAAATTTTATCTTTTTTTTTTTTTAATATTGTCTAGTTATATTAAGTCTTTTTAAAATGTACTGATGAATTGTTAGTGAAACTACTTAAAATTGCCCCCTTGAAATGTTTGTCTAAATGCCACTTAGCAGGTGCGACATTATAGCTAGTGATGGTACCATCACTAGTGGTGACTTGAAACGAGAGGGGTTGATAGTTGAGATACAAGTTGCTCTGCCAGTTTTGACCCCAGTTTCTTGACATTGGTTGCCATCCTGTTCTTGATCCTTTGATTGATGCATAATGGACATCCCCAGTACCACCGACGTTAGTGATCAATATTACGTTGAAGTAGGGATGTCAAACGAGCCAAGCAGCTTATCGGCTCGGCCACTCGAGCTCGTCAGATCCGACGAGCCCGAGCTGAGCCGCAAGCGAGCTCTTGCTTTGCTCATCGAGCTCGCAAGCGAACTTGTAAAAAAGTGAAGAAAAATAAAAAAATCAAAAAATAATTTAAATCAAAAGCTTGTGGCTCGTGGGCCGAGCCGAGCTCGCGAACGAGCAAACGTCATGAGCCACGAGCTCGGGTCGCGACGAGCACTAGCTGAACTCGTGCGTTTGCTCGGCCCAGCCCATTGCCATGACTACGTTGAAGTAGGAGAGCCCATTTATAGTAAATCTTATTCCTCCCTTCTTTGTGCAGGACACTCCGTAAAAAATTACCAACAAAGATATACAAAATTGTTCAAGTTTAAGGTTATTGATCCGAAAATTGAACATGATATTCATTTGAGACAACATAGTAAAGACAATCTTTTCTAAACAAATTAAGTTTTCTCTCAGCATGTTTGGCTGAGATGAAAATATTAACTTATGAGTGAATAAAAAAATTTCGAATAAAGTAATTAACTTACGTAGAAGTTAATTTTTAGTTTAAGTAACCTTTTTACTTAAGAAAAATAGGAAGTGTTTGATGAGTAGATATGTTGTATTTTAGGAAATGTTGCTTGAATTTGTGCTTACTTAGTATGGTATAAAGAAGAAAATAATTAAAATTTCTGATCAACTGTCCAATATTGTGTATCATGATCGTATTAAAATGTCACCTTACATTCGAAAAGATACAGTGATAATTCCAGCTCGATACTGAGCAATTTGCAAGAATGCGGGCTCGGCCAAATCAAAATGTTGGAGGGGAGGATTGCACCACCCACCATTGTTATTACGCAGCGAAGGATTTGGTGGGCAAAAATTTGTTGCTGTGACAATTATGGAGCCAGGGAGGCACCACTTATTAGCACCATTGGTGCAACTCATTTCGTAGCACGACCCACAACTTAAACCATTGTTAAATAAAGCAGTACTTAGTGCAGCAGTGTTGGTACCATATCCTTGACCGTACAAGTTGCCATACCCAACCCCCCACATTTTCAAATTGCAATGTGGATTAGACCGACTAAAATAAAAATTAAATTTTTAGTAAATTTAAAATATAAGTTGATGGAATGTGTGTTTGAAAAGTTATGGATCTCATAAAATATGTGATTAAATTAATTATTAATTGTAACTTTAAATTTTTATCAAACATTAAGCCACACCAAACAAGGACTAGAATTGCTTACTCAAATTATTCAATCTTATAGTAAATTATGTCGGCGTGTTTTCGATATGCCGATGTGGCATATATCAACTCGCTATGATGACAAGCCATGCAAAATGTGCTCAACTAGACAAAGTTAATGATCAACACCACATGACAGAATTTGTAGCTTTGTTATTTGAAACTACAGGTTAAGTTGCATAATTTCATGCATGGACAAATAACACCTTCAACATATATTATCTTTCAAAGCGCATTTTGAATATGTTTAAAATGCGTACCCATAGTGCCAGAGGCGTCGCCCCCGCCATAGAAAGTAGCATGACCACTTTGCCATCATCCATGATATAAGATTGCATTAATAATTCTCCACGATGGTCGTTGAGGTAAGAGCTACTTGATATGCACCCCACGTATAGCACCGTATGATAGGTCACCTACTACTATAAAGAAGTCAACCCCCATGGAACCGCCTACCACTAGAAGCCCTCTAAGTTCACATATGTCGTCTACCATTACGAGGCCGTCGACCCCCATGATAGGTTGCCTACTACTATAAAGAAGCCCACCCAACAGCGAACGTAGGTACAACCAACCACTTGAAGAGTGGGGGGTCACTTTACCAGAACGTGGGGAAAGTGTGGAGGTTTATGTGGTACATGTGGAACCAGCAACCACCGAACGCGTAGCAACAGGTGCCTA